TTTCCTAATAATATAATATTAGTTTCTAATAATATAAAGTTTTTAAATAAATTTTTTTAACTATTATATTTAATTAAAACTTATAAACTTTTATATAAATTTAGTTTAAATTATTAAATATATGTTTTAAATTATATTATAAAATTTTAAATTGTTAAAGTTTTTATAAAGATTTAAATTATTAAAGTTTATTTTATAAAATTTTAAATTATTAGATTCCATCTCCCCCTCTCTCTCATCGCGGTCATCTCCTCTCTCTCTCTCTCTCTCTCTCTCTCTCTCTCTCCCCCTATCTCTCCCTCTTATGTGAGTATTACGCCATTTTAAATGGCATATTTCATTTTCTCTCTCATATGTAAGTAATACGCCAAATTGAATAGTGTATTTCAATGATGCCATTTATTTTGGCGTATTTGCTCATATCTAAATTTTAATTAATCAATGCTCCTTTTGCTAATTTTGATAATAATACTGATCTTTTATAAAATTTTCCCTCACATTTTTGTATTTGTATCAGTGATATTAAGCTTTATGCTCTATGTGTCGTATAACCTGTGTATGTTTACATCATCTTTAGTAATCATATCATACATGCATGTACAAGTACATATTATTGTAAGGTAAGACATTCAACTAATCATGATGTTTTCCTATATCTTATCATACCATATCATGTCAGGTGGCTATCTTGTAAGTTATCACTCATGCCCATCAATGTATCTTAATTACCCACTCATAGCTCCTTATCTTGAATTTTGTGTCATGTATATTGCATTGAGATTATACCACAATCCATTATTTAAAGGAAAGCTAGTCAACTCACCCTCATGTACACGATATCTAACTCCGGCCAACCCGAATCAGTTTATAATTAGCCAACCTTTCTTGCAATTACACACCAATGCTATATTTTACATGAAAAATATAATATTGTATCTAATGCAATTAAGCATGTAGATCATTTTAACACCATGCCATCAGTATGCAATTCTTATCAATATGCTTGCTACAACATGTACATACCATCAAACTATATCATATGCATGTCATGTTAGGCTTAATGGAATAAATGCAACATGCAACAGTCTTAATTTATTACTTGGTGCAATTAAATAAAAATATCATACATACAAATCTTCCCAGTGAACTTTTAATATGATGATACCAAAATATACAGAATAATGATATCTAATACACACCAAAATTTATATGCTAGAAATGTGCTAAATAGAGGGATAATACATTTTAACCAAATTTGGGAGAGAGAAAAACCAAAACTCAAAATCATTAGAAACAAAAGTAGGATTGAATACCTATCATCATTAGAACAATTTTGTAATTAGAGATATAGACAAAAATCATCCAAAATTGAATTTCTTTCTCCTCTCTCTCACTTCTCTCCTTTTACACCTTTCTTCCCATACAAGCTGAGGGAATGATGAACCTGATATATAGTGTTTGGCGTTGTGGCATTGTAGAGTATAGCCAGCACAATGTTGTTGTACTATAGTTCAAACTTTCGCTGGCGAATGCTTAGATCCTAGTCATGGTCATCGGAATTTCAGCGACTAACAGTCGTCAGACGTCCACCTGGCCGCCACCTTTGAACCTTCACCTGGCCATCGCCGTTGGACCTCCATCCGACCATCGCCATTAGACCTCTATCTAGCCACTGGTGTCGGGTCTCCTCCATGTTGCTATTTTCCATCTTTTGCCCAACAACCAACACCGTACCTTTGCCTTAGCCGTTATCACCGAACTTTTGTCTACCGATCATTGTTGTTGGAGTTTCACTAGCTGAAAGCCACTCAACCACCAACGTTAAATCTTTTACCTACCATCTTCCACCCATGTACCGCATCACTCAATTGCGATCCATCGACCTCCATCGCCTACTAACTACATCCCCTTTGGTCACTGTAGCCTGATTATAATCCCTAAAGCATAATTCTTGACATTACTACGATCCCTATAGCCTTCTTTGCCTAACTACAGGCCATTCAAGCACTATTCTTCCTACGATCCCTCTGACCATAATCGACTAATTATAGTATCTACGACCTTATTAGTCTGACTATAGTCCCTCCAACCTCATTCGCCTTACAACGTTCCCTCCGACCACTATTGTCCGACTATGATCCCTCCAACCTCTATCGCCCGTTTATAGTCCCTCCAACCTTCATTGCTTGTTGTGGTCCCTTCGACCACCGTTGCCTAAATATTATCTCATCGAACACCATCACTCAATTACGATCCCTCCAACCACCATCACACTTGTATGGCCCATCCATCTTATTTGACCAACTATGACCCCTGCGACCTTTATCACACAACTACAATCTCTTTGACCACCTTCATCTGATTACAGTTCCTTCAACCTCGATCACATGACTACGATCCCTCTAACTTTCATCGTCTAACTATGGTCCCTCTGATACCCGAGTGTGGCCCCTCTAGCCAATATCGCACTACTATGGCCCTTACAGCCTTAGCCACTTGACTACGGTTGCTGTGACCTTTGGCTCCTCAACTATGTTCCCTCTAATCACCATTGTCTGATTACAGGCCCTTCGACCTCGATTGCCTAACTTTCAATCCCTCCAACTACTATCAATCATCTACGATTCATCTGATCTCAATCACCAAATTATGATTCCTTTGACTCTCGTTGCCCAACTACAGCCCCCGCAACCTCCATCGCCTGACTTCGGTTCCTTCGACCACCATCATCTGACTAAAGTCCCTTCGACCTTAGTCACATGACTACGATCCCTTAGACCTCAGCAGCTCAATTACGGTCCCTCCAACCTCCATCACCCGACTACGATCTCTTTGACCACCATCACTTGAAAATAATGTTTTACTTACCACCATCGTCCAACTACAATTCCTCTAACCACCATTGCCCAACTATGGTCCCTCCGACTACCATTGCTCAAATACGACTTTTTTGACCTCCGTCGTCTGACTACATTTACTTTAACCACCATCAACCAACTACGGTCCTTTCAACCTCCATTGCATGACTACGCTCGCTCCAACTTTCTTTGCCCGACTACAGTCCCTCTTACCTTCGTCCCTCAACTAAGGTCCCTTCGATCACCGTCGTCTAACTACAATCCTTCCAACCCAACAAACATGTCAATAATCTTGTAAGATTAGTTCTCTTGCCATTGGGATCTTCCAACTACAACTATGTAACATGCTCTATATAATTTATATTTGATATATTATGTCAATACTAGCATCATGTGTAATCAACAACAAACACTAGATGAATCATTTCAATTGAACAATGCCTTATAATTTTTCCCTTTCATGAGCATTCCACATTTAAAAAAAAAAAAAGAAAATCCAATCCTTATAACTCTTACACATTTTCTTTTTTGCCTTTTTTTTTTTTTAAATCTTCCTAAAAGCCTAGGACGATAAATTTGCTACCTCTCTACCATCAAGAATATACCGGCACTCAACAAATCTAATTTACTATTAATTTTCCTTTCTATTATGTTTAATGTCCAAGTCAATATTAAGCTATTATAACGATTAGCATATGAAATCCTTTAACAATTATATTATTACTTAATTAGCTAATCACTATGTATCAATCAACGAATCTTCACGCAGTATTTCTTTCCCCTACGCCGAGCCTTATTAATAATATATTCACATAAACAAACTTTCCTAATCATTAAGTGGATTAAGTTTGTCATCAAACATTCCATGCCTGTGATAAATTTCTCATCACTATTCTTTATGTTACATTTATCAGACAAAATTATTTAAAAATTAAGTTCGAAATTATCTATCAGATTGTTATATTCATTGGACTATAAATAATCTATTTTTATGACTATATGTATACATAAATAAAAAACAAGAAATTTCTTATTTTATATATATATCACCATCAAATACACCAACTCTTCTCAGGCCTACTTAAGATAAGATTTCATTATATATTTAATTTAATGAATAATATGTACAATAATATTATATATATATATATATATATATATATATATATACCTCTAATACACCGGTGCAAAGGCCGTAAAGCAGTAAAATACCAAGAACATAATGTTTTCCTTTAATGTAAAACAGATATAAGGTTTTACTACGAAGCAAACAACCTGCTGCTTCTAAGTGAGCATTTTGCATCAATACGAACTCAGAACAGAGAAATAAAGCACTAGCGCCGCCCCAATAATGCCATCAAGCAACCGCGAGAGCCATGAAAATTCTTATAAAGCAAAATTATAGCTGGAAAACGACAATCATCACAGTATCATATTTCCCCGTCCCAAATCTCCTCGACACTTTTATATAAGCCTTGAGGTTTAATAAAGAAATCTCCTCTGATTAGCCTTGCCTGCAGTGAAAGAAAAATGTTGACCAAATTATGTTAGCGACATTTGGAATTTTTATTAAACGCAACATAAATGGGGTATCTTATAAAAACAAGGAAATATGAAAATGTTGAGGGATCTGGTAATTATGTTGATGCAGGCTAAGGTCTTTTAATACATAAGGCTAGAAAACTCTCACAAATTGGGGTTAGACTATCATTGAATTTGCTACATAACTGAAACTGATAAATAGTTTTCCAACTTGAGACTTGAATGAGACCATCTCTTTGTTGTTTCAAAAAAAATTTGTACAAAAAAGTTGCTATAAAAAGTAATAAGAAAATTATCTCAAATGAAGCTTTAGGCTACGTTTGGGACGGCTTTCTTACTTTTTCAATTTTGTACCAGAAAGCCGCTCCAATAAGCAGCAAGAAAGCCGTCCCAAACGAAGCCTTAGTTTTACTGAACAAAGTTACGCAACTCAACTTGGTATGTTGGTTGGGAGTTTTAGCTACCAACCAAGAGGATTTGAGTTAGAGTCTTGAGTATGTGTGAGTTTATCTTAATTGACCTAAATGTCCAAAAAAAAATCACTTTTTCTAGACTTTTTTTTTTTCAATTTAAGAATATGTTTGATGCATGCATGCTCATTTATTAATTGTGGCGTCTTATTTTAGTCACTCAAAACCATAAACTGATTGTTTATTTAGTTGGTGCATGTAAGAGAAATCAATGCTCTAAATCGTTAACAACAGTCTTTTTACATATTGAAGCTGTAAGAGCCTTGCGCTTCAAAATTTGGTAAGTGCAGTTTGGAATCACAACTATAAGCATCCAAACAATAACGCTAAAACGGAGTCTCAAATGTCAACAACTCAATTTACCTGTTGAATAGAGGAGAACTTTGCAAACAGATCATCAGGTATAGACCAATCGAACACGTCATAGTTTTCTTGTATTCTTGATTCTTTGATGCTCTTTGGCAATACACTGTTGCCAACTTGGATTCCCCAACGAAGAGCTACTTGCGCAGCAGTCTTCCCCAATTTCTCCGCAACCTCGGTAACAACAGAGTTTGCAAGGACATTCCCTTCTATCCATTTTGACCCTGGAGAACCTAGCGGAGAATATGCCTGCATATAAAGGAAAATAATTAACTAGATAGTTATTCAACTCTTAAGGAAATGTCATAGGGCTTAGATCAGCGAAGAGGAGGCTATACTATTGTTAAATTTAGCCAACTTACTGAGAGGTGAACTCCCTTGGATTGACAGAAGGACCGAAGCTTGGTCTGTTGCCATACAGGATGGCATTCCACCTGGTTTACAGCAGGTGGAATACGTGCAATGCTCAGCAAATCTTCCAACTTCTTGGTGGAAAAATTGCTCACACCAATAGCACGAGCCTTTCCAGAATCATAGAGCTTTTCCATTGCACTCCATGTGTTAGGTATATCAGGTTGGATAAGATTTTCAGCTCTCAAACTTGTCCCCTTCTTCAGTCGAAATGGCCAGTGTATCTTCAGGGTATTGGAAGAAAGGATAGACGAGAAAACAAAAAGATTAATGAAAATAAATACGTCGAAGAAAAAATAATAATAATCTTTAGAAACTAAATATGCTTGACAACTTTCGAAGATGAGATGTACCAGGTAAAGATCCACATAATCGAGCTGTAAATCTCTTAAAGTTGAATTTATTTCCTCTGCTACATCTTCTGGAGCATGGCTATCGCACCTGCAAAATCATTGTTAATTTTCATACGAAGTGAAAGATAGAATGATGGCTTATAATAGCAGCTCTGATTGTGGATAATCAAATTGGAAATACAGTATTCCAAAAAAGATAGAATGGATTTCAAATGTAAAATAGCTACTTTTGAAACAACAATGAAGAAAGAAACTAACCAGAGTTTTGATGTAATAAACAAATCTTCACGCTTTACAACACCATCATCAAACAGCTTCTTCAAAGACAAACCAATCTGGATTTACAGTAAACTTTATCAGAATTTCATACAAAATGGAATAAAAAGCATTATACTTGCATTTTCAAAAGAAATGGCCCGGAAGAGAAGCAAATAATCCATACATTTTTAACTTACTTTTTTCTTGTAATGTAATACAAATTTATAATGTAAATAATTATAAGCTTCGGAAATTTATTAACAGTGCAATATAAGTAGAACAGAAACTTTAAAAAATTTATTATTCGTACGACAACTGTGTTGCGCTCTGGTATTAATGGAGCTCTAACACAACCATATCATTTAATAGAAATATGGGGAGATTCAGCAAAATTTTAGCTAAATGGGAACACACAAATTCCACTCATTAATGGTTCCTAAATTTTTTCAAGCGATGGTTAAAACTTAAAACGACAGAAGTACAACCAAAACTCAAATAATATTTGACATTGTTTTCGCTTCACCCACCTAATAAACTTTAACAGAGGTTAAACACAGACAGGCGCTATATGAACCCCTTTTAGTACCAGGTATAAAGAATATCAAATATGATATCATAAAACAAGAAATTGAATGCCTGAAGCGCCCAATTGAAAATATAGATCAACAAACACAACGATGTTTAGATCCTACATACCCAAATTGAATTAGATACAAGCAACTATCACTAAACAATTTCCGTCAAATCCATGTTGCTTGCTGCTTGAACTCGTAGGCATCTTTTAGACTCAAATCAAGACCAAATATGTTTTACATCAGATATTCATGAATGACTAAATAACGTTTAGCTTCATGAGTCATGGATGTCGATCCTCTGGATAAGTATCTGCCACTCTCAACATCATTTAGAAAGCGGACTACAAATAGTTCCACAAGCCAAAAGTTGTATAATGGGAATAGCCATGCAAATAGGCATGTTATAACTAATATACATGGGAGAATCAAAAGGTCCTACAGGGAGCTTGGAGGAAGAGTTCCTTTCCTTTGCTGCTTTGCCCTAGCCCTAGCTGTCCTCTTCCTCTTCCCCCCTCCTCCCTCCGGCGTTACAGAGGGCTTTCCATTTTCTTTCCAGTATATTTGATGTTCAAACTTTGGCTGGAAAAAAAAAATTTAATATCTCTAATCTCAAGATTGAATATTCCAATACCTTGTATTCACTAATTGAAATTCGATAGTTTATTAGATTTGTGGAGTTATAATACACAAAACTTGCTATAAATCTATTAACAAGATCAATGTCAGATTTATTTTTAAAGTTGATATTAATAAAAGGAAATTACATCTCATTTTTTTGGAAACATACCTGCAGGCCTTTGCAATTTGGGGGCCTTAGGCTTACTGCTCTTTCTTATCTCGCTTTTGCTTACAACTATTGTTTAATTTGGCAATTTTTTTATAATGACTCTCTCTTTATTAAATGATGGAAATTTAAGTACACCTCCTTATGGAAGCTTCAGGCTGGACTTACTTCCCCATTTTGGAAAAAACATTACAAAAATAGCTAATATAGTAAAGCCTTATATCACTTTCAAAATCCATATTGGCAGCAAGTTTTCTTCCTTCTGGGATCCATAGCTCAATGGCAACTCGAGTATGAAAAATTTTACCGACTTCTTTAGCTCTTTTGATATTTCTTCTTATACCAATATTTCTAACATTGTGGTAAATGGCTGCTAGTGCATCCCTAGTTCTTGTCAGTAGGTTTAAGGCTGCTTATTGCTTCTATAAACACTCTTGATTTTTCTCATGAGCAAGTTTTATGGTGGAATTTGGGCTAACATATTTTTAAGAACTTTCTACCGTTCTTATACATTCAACTCCCCACAATTTCCTGGCATAAGAACATCTGGAATAAGAATTATGCTCTGTTAAGGTACGACGAATCAAACACAAAGAGAAGAAATAAATCACAATTTGCAAAACACAAACGAACACAGAAGATTTGTGTGGAAAACCCAAAGCTGGGAAAAACCACGAGGAGGAGGACGGATGCACTACAGAGAAAACAAAAGGCGGAGAACAAAAAAGGGCACAAATCCTAAGCCTTCTACAACATATTTGTAGGGAAAAATTAGGGCACCAAAAAATAAGTGGAATGCCAAAATTACCTTTACAATCAAAATTAGGGCAAAACTAGTGTTTGATTACATTTTAGAGCTAAGCAATGGCTCTAAAATTGTTAGAAATGAATGTTAGCTTTCTATTTGCTTTTTTGAATATTTTATTTGGAAGTAAAGAAATGATAAAAAATTTGGTCTATTTTTATTAGTTCCTCTATTGCTCATCATCTTATTAAAAAGGCTAATTCAGCTCATGATCAAAAAATGAAAAACTTTTTGGGAAATTTAAAAACTATGTCATTGATGTTCATGGTAAGATTTCTCTCTCTGTGGTTCAAGGTGTTTCTAGATTGGGCGATGATGAAAGGCTCATTCTTCTTGCCTCCAAACAATATGGTGACAACAACCATTCACCATGGACAATTTTCTCACAAGCAACTGGGGAATTCCACTTATATTGAGCTTTCTATCTGCATTGTTTTTATAATGACTGAAAATTCTACCTCTTTAAAGTTCAATTTTTTTTATTGGCTCCTCTCCTTTTTGCCTTATACTAATTAAGCCAGTTCTTAATGTTTTTATTTAAAACCTTTTCTTCAGTTGGTATAGGCTAAGCATTGTTGATCTTTGATTTGCAGCTCATATTCTTTTGGATGTAACTTTTTGGTGAGTTGAGTTGTAAGTGCTTAGGCCTTTGTAGTTGTCCCCTTGTAGTAGGACTTTGTCCTCAATATTCTCAAACTGTTAGATATGCATGTTACATCTCTATTTGTTGCTTGTCTATTTTATTTGGATGGAAATGAATGATAAAAATTTTGGATTTGTTTTTAGTAGTTCCTCTAATGTTCATCATCTTTATTAAAAAGGCTATTTAGCCCAAGATCCAAAAATGAAAGAATTTTGGGGACATTCAGGAACTATTTCATTGATATTCTCAGTGTTTTTATATTGGGCGATAATGAAATGCCCCTTCCTGCCTCAAGACAATGTGGTGCTAGCAACACTTCCTCGTGGACGCCTTCTCGCAAGCAAGCGGGAGAATTGTACTTCTTTTAAGATTCTTCTCTAGTTGGTTTTTATAATGGCTGAATATTCTGCCTCTTTTAAACCCTTTTATTCAATTGGCTCCTCTCATTTTCTTCCTAGTACTAATTAAGCCAATTCTCAGTGATTTTATTTAAGTATTTTTCTTTAGTTGGTAAAGGCTAAGCATTGCTGATTTTTTATTTGCAGCTCATCTTCTTTTGAATGTAAATTTTTTGATTGTTGAGTTGAGTTGTAAGTTAGCATAGGCCTATATTTATCCCCTTGTAGTATAATGAATTATTGGTACTTTGCCCTCAATATTCTAAAACTGACTGTTAGAAAAGTGTGTTACCTTTCTATTTGCTACTTTATTTATTTTATTTGGAAGGAAATAAATGATAAGAAATTTGGATATGTTTTTAGTAGTTCCTCTATTATTCATCATCTTATTAAAAGGCTATTCAACTTAAGATCTTAAGCTCAAAAATAGAATTCGTTGATATTCGTAGTGAGATTTCTCTCTTAGGCTCGGGTGTTTCTATACTGAGCGATGATGAAAGGCCCCTTCTTCTTGCCTCTAGACAATGTGGTGAAAGCAGCTCTTCCTTGTGGACGACATTCTCGCAAGCAACCTAAGGAATTTCACTTCTTTTGAGCTTTTTATTTGCTTGATTTTTATAATGGCTGAAAATTCTACCTCTTTTTAATTTCATAATTTTTTATTGACTCCTCTCCTTTTCTATTTTATACTAACTAAGGCCAAATTCTTTGGGTTTTTATTTAAGTCCTTTTCTTCATTTAGTATAGGTTGAGCATTGCTGATTTATTATTTGCAGCACATCTTCTTTTGGATGTAACTTTTTAAATTGCTGAGTTGCGTTGTAAGTTGGCTTAGGCCTTTGTATTTATACCCTTATAGTATAATGAATTGTTGGGACTTTGTCCTCAATATCCCCCACCAAAAAAAGAGCTAATACACATGGAACAATACCAAGTTGTAAGGCAATGACACATCAGTCAAAAGTAACCTATGCAAAAAAAGTTAAGGACCAAGAACTTTGCGAATATGAATGTGCTATTCTTTAAAAGAGGAGGGGGTACTATTAAAAATAGTCATCTATGACACAAGTATTCATTAAAAAAACATAGTTTCATAAAAGTAAGGATACATTAGCGATGGATAAAAATACCTCTTTCTCATTTCCGTAAATCTGAGCACAGTCTATATGCCTATAGCCAACCTGCAGGTTACACAGATAAAAATTCCAATTGTTAAAATCATGTTAAAGGAAAAGCTTTAGAAATTTGATCCCAATAGAAATGAAGTCTAAAAAATAAATCAACCTTCTATAGAAAATTATAGGATTACAATGACATTTTAAGGGGCTGTTTGGCAACAATTAGGATTTAATAAATCTGAATTTACAAAATCTTGAGTGTTAAATCCTGAAAACAGTTTGGCAAAAAAGATATTAAATCCTAGTAAATCCTATGAAACTATTTGGCAACATAACTCATAATTTAAGATGATTAATTATTAAAAACACAAATTTAATTTATGTTTCAAATTTAATATGTGTTTTAAATATGAGCTACTAATTAATTTCAACTTTCATTACTACCAAAAAAATATAATTATAAATAATATAATCAGAAAATAGCTTCATTATCAAATAATTTAACTAACGATTTAATTATTAATTACAATAAAAATTATTTTTTTTGGAAAAGATTTTAAGTATCCTATTACTAACTCTAATTATTTAATTAGTACTTATATTATTAATTATCTAATTAACTATTTACATTTCAAATTATATTAACTAAGCTAATTATATTACCTCCGAATTAAAAAAAAAAAAACCTCCGAATTAATAATACGGTATTCTTCTACGCCATTGCCCGGCTATTTCAATAATTTCTCTCTTCCGATAGCCTTTCGCTTTGTCTTGTTTCTTCTCGGCTTTCTCCGTCATTGCTGCCAAAGAAGAAGAGCCGCTAAAGAAGCTTCTTAGCCTCCTTCGACAATGTTGTAACTGTAGCGAGAATTAGGTTTCATTTGATTGGAAGTTTTTTATGCTTATTTTGTTTTAAAATGACAAATTCATTTTTTATTTAGTGTTTGGTTCCTCAAATCAACTTCTCAATAACTCCATTTGTTTCATTTTTCTGTTGTTTTGAAAAAGCTTTTTATATATGCTTCTCCGGTAGAAAACTCCATTTTATGAATCAATGTTTCTTAAAATTGTCTTTTACAAAAGTACCAAAAAACCAAACGAAACCTTAGAGTTTTCAAAGAGCCGCGAAAGAAACTTCTTAGGCTTTGTTTGTTTGAGCATTTTTTTGCCTTTTCCGTTTTGGAAACAGAGGAATTTTTTTTTGTGTTGTTTGGTTCGTCAAATCACGTTCCCAATACTCTTTTTTTTTTCATTTTTCTTCAGTTTTGAGAAAGTTTTTTATATATGCTTCTTTGTTAGAAAACTCAATTTTCTAAACTAATGTTTTTTAGAACTGTCTTTTACAAAAACACCAAAAAAACAATCGAAGCCTTAGCCTCCTTCAACGACCTTATTAATGTCGCATCGGAAATGACGAGTGGAGCTCCCCGCGAAGGTACTTATTAGAATACATACATATGTAAACTAATAGTTATATATGTATTCTACTAGTATTGATCTTTTTTCTCTCCTTTTATGCACTTCTTCGACTAAATCCCATAAATCCGCCTAACTATGGGATTTACTAAATCCGGGATTTAGGTAAAAAAAGTAGGAAACGGAGAATTTAAGTTGCCGTGAGATTTAAATCCTTTTTATTTTCGGTGGCAGGATGTAGTTTAAATCCTGCTCAAATCCTGCTACCAAACAGCCCCTAAGTGAGATATCAAAATGTTCATATAATAAAAATAGGAAATAATTACTTCATATCCAATGAATTTAAAAGAATGTTTCCCTAGAAGGGATTGAAAAATATTCCGCCGGAATAAATAGCTAAGCGCATCCAATACCAGTTTCAGAATGAGAAAATCTATTTTGCCCATTGACGAATCAGCGAAAGTATCACATCCCGGAATTGCTCAATATACTATCAATATTTTCTTCATGTGTTATAGATCGAAACAGTATTTATAATTTCAAAGATTACAAACCATAACCAGTTGAAGAGAAAGATACACCAGATAAATTTATATAAAAATGCTGTACGAGAAAGACGATGCGGAAACTGAGTACTAAAAGAAGATCAATTTAAAATAACAAGGATTATTCCAAAAGATCGCAATAAGAAACTAGAGGAAGATGAAGGGGAAAATTTTGGATAGGAGAGAGGGACGGGAATACCTTGATAGCTGAAGCGACGGCTTCTCCGACCACTCCGGGGTTGGCCTGCCATGTTCCAAGCCCTAATGAGGGCATCTGGGCACCGGTGTTGAGCGTGAAGAACCTAGCCATTTTGATATTTCTTCTCTTACTCGTATCCTCTCACCAGTCACCGCTATCTCACGCCCACTCCGCTTCGTAGACTTATTAGCAAGCGGAGTTTCATATGGTATTTATAGGATGGGTGGGTCGAGTCGTCGAGTAGAGCGGCCGGCTAGATAGCTGACGCAAGCGCATACGAAAAACATAAATTTCAACTTGAACCAGCTTTGTTCGCGATTGCTCCTAAGCTCATGCGAAAGAACTCGAATTTTGTTTGGGATGATTATGATGCTGAATTAAGAATTATTTGTGGCTCATAATCAGCTATTAAGTTTTATTTGGAAAGATTTTTTTTATTATTTTTTAAAACAGCTTCTTAGTATAAAATTTTACTAAGAAATTATTTTAAAAAATAATAAGAAAGCTGTCTCAAATGAAGCCTAAATTTTATTTGTGATGGATTTGTTAATGTTTTTAAAGTAATTTTTTAATACAAAATTTTTAATATTTATTCTAAAAAGCTGCTTTAAAAATTAGTAAAAAATTGTCCCAAACGAGATCTAAATCTGTGCAAGAATTTTATTTTCATTTTTAGTTGTAAAAGCGCTTCACAATAGTTCAGCAAAACTACGAAAAGATTCATTATCGTTGATATTTTGCATTGATTAAGGCTTCGTTTAGGACCATTTTTTGATTGCTTTTTAAAACAATTTTTTATAACCAAAACTAAAATTTTATACTAAAAAATTATTTTAAGAAGCAATAAAAAATCTTCCTAAATATAGCCTAAAACTGCTGTTATATTTTTACAACGATTTTATACGCTGCAATTATATAAGCTGCAATATAAATCTTTACAATTTTGAAGAATTCATTCATTGCAGAGGTAATAGTCATTGCAAATTAGAAATATTAAACATTTTCAACGATCATAACCACTGAAATGTTGAAAGAAAAAATTTTTCAGCGATTATAAGCAGTACAAGTGTTGAATAAATTTTTTTTGGTACGCCATGCCAAGCCATATTTCCTAATTTGAGTTTGATGAATTTGAGCTATGACATGATTGTTAAGGATATAAATATCTATATTATTTTTATAAATATGAGGTATGATTTCATGTTGAAAAAAAAAAAGTTATTATGCCAATGAATAATTATTAGGGAACAAGTATAAAAAATTAAAAGGGTTAATCATTGGTTTTCATTATCCATTGTGAGATTGCATGATCTTCAACCCTTTGAAGTTTAGGCTTCGTTTGGGACGATTTTTTTACTGTTTTTTATAAAAGAGTTATAAAATTTTGTTACTAAAACGATGTTTTAAGAAGTAATAAAAAAGTCGTCTCGAACGAAACCTTAGAGTCAAATCCATTAGGAAATCTCTTATTCTTAGTGGAGAATCTTGTGATAGAGACATATATAAACTTGATTATACGTCAAACTTCCACACTATATGTAGAGGAATGTTAAGAGCATCTTTAACTAGGGGTGTCAATTTTGGGTCACATGTCAGGTTCGGGTCGAACCTGAAATTGACCCGACACTATTAGGGTCAACCATAACCTGACATGTTTCGGGAAACGGATCGATTTTTTCGGACCCAAACCTGACCCGCTTCGGGTGCGGGTCAACTCGACACGACTTGAATGACCCGGGACATACCAAAAATTGCTAGTTTTTTTGTCAAAAAAGGGTCATTCTTCAATTTTCGGGTCAAAAGCGGGTCAAAAAAAGGTCAAAATGGGTCAATCTCAGGTTTTCGGGTCAAAATGGGTTTTTAGGTATAAAACGGGTCAGTTAGTGAGTCAAGCCGAATATGACCCAATTTTTGAAACGGGCTAATTTGCTAAACCCAAACCCGAAAGAACCCGAACCCGACCCATTTCAAGTCCTGGTTGACCCTAACCCATAATTTGTGGGTCGAGTTTGAGTCGGGTTTTCGGATCGTGTCAAATATTGACAGTTGTATCTCCAACCGAAAAGCCCATTTTCCACTTCAAAATGCAGTAAAACTCCAAAATATAATAATTTATCTCCAATCGAACTCCATTTTTTCTCCTCTTTCGTTCGCTTCATCTCCAATCGAACTCTATTTACTGACTCTGTCGCTCTAAAAAATTATAAATAAACTCATAATTCTTCATTAAGGGAGGGAGAAGCAACAAAGGGAGTAGGGAGCAAGGAAGATAAAAAAGAGATGAGAAGAATAGAATTTGAGATCTCTCATGTCACCAAGCTCCTCCTTTGACCAATGCTTGGACACCGACTGTCGCCAGAATGTCATTGGACTTACTCACGGCCACTAATTATGGTCAGGCTTCGCCCCGACCACCAACAATTGCCATATTTACGTCCGGCCACCAACCATCTTCGGACTTCTACCCGACCACTAACTATTGTCGGACTTACGTCCACCCACAAACTGATGCTAAATTTACACCTGGCGAGTGACTGTCTTCAATCCCTTCAACCATCATCACCCGACTACAATCTTTTTTACCATCATTGCCCACCAACTATGATCATTCTGACCTCCATCATTAGACAACGGCCTTTCTTACCACTATCATCAGCCAACTACGGTCCTTCTGATCTCCATCTCTAGATAACAGTCTTTCTAACCACTATAACTAGCAAACTAGGGTTCTTTAGACCTTCGTAGCCCGCTGACTATGGTCCTTCCGACCTCTGTTATCATAAAATGGCCTTTCCAACCTTTGTATCTCATCAACTATGGTCCTTCTGACCTTCGTTGTTAGATAATGATCTTTCTGACCTTCTTTGCTGGCCAACTACGATTCTTACCAATCTTCGTTGCCATATAATGATCATTCTAACCTCTGTCTCTCGTTGACTATGATATTTCCGACCTTCATTCTCAGATAATGATCTTTTTGACCTCCATCCCCCATCATCTACGGTCGTTCTAATCTCAGTTGTCAGACTACGATCTTTCTGACATCCGCCACCCATCAACTACGGTCCTTTTAACATTCGTCGTCTGATAATAGTATTTCTGACCTCTGAGCCAATTAACTATGATCATTCCAACCTCTGTCGCCTAATAACGGTCTTTTTGATAATCATCAAATGTCTATTATGGATAATATTATAATTAAGTTTATATATGACTCTGTCACAACCCGGAATAAGAGATTTCCCAATGGATTTGACTCTAAGCTTCAAAGGACTAATTATTATGTACGGACACTGGATGGGAAGAACTGTTCGGATTTGTTGCACTTTTACTGTTATTTTGTTGTGCTTTTGCAAAATGATAGTAAAATGACAACAAATATTTAATATTTATTAAATAATTGAATATTTGTTGCAATTTTACAAAATGATAGAAGTGCAATAAAAATGCATTCATAATTGAATATTTGATACATTTTTACTGCCATTTTGCAAAAGGGCAACAAATCCGCACAGTTCTCTCCGTCCGGTGTCCGCACAGAATAATTTCTAGGTTCAATATCATGTCACAAGGAATAATGAAAGCCAATGATTAATCTTTTTAATTTTGTTTACTTGTTCTCTAATAATTATCCATTGGCATAATATCTTTTTCTTTTTCTTTTTTTCAATTTGAAACCATACTTCTTATTTATAAAAATAATATGGATATTTGTATGCGTAACAATCGTTTCATAGCTCAAATTCATCAATCTCAAATTAGAAGAAATGGCTAGGCACGGCGTGCAAAAAAATTTATTCAACACTTGTGCTTATAATCGCTGCAAAAATATTTTCTTTCAATAGTGCATAGGTAATGATAGTTGAAAATTTTTAATCTTTCAAATTTGCAGTGACGATTACCTCTTCAAAGAATGAATTCTTCAAAATTGCAAAGATTGGACTTCTGTTTTTCGTATGCGCTTACGTCAGCTATCTAGCCGGGCCGCTCCTTTCGGCCCACCCATCCTATAAATACTATATGAAGCCGCTCAGCTTGCTAAGTCGACGAAAGCGAGTGGTCGTGAGAGAACGGTGAGAGCATACGAGCAAGAGAAGAAATATCAAAATGGCTAGGTTTTTCACGCTCAACACCGGTGCCCAGATGCCCTCAGTAGGGCTTGGAACATATCAGGCCGACCCCGGAGTGGTCGGAGAAGCCGTCGCCTCTGCTATCAAGGTATTCTCGTCCCTCTCTCCTATCCAACATTTTCCCCTTCATCTTCCTCTAGTTTCTTATTGCGATCTTTTGGAATAATCCTTGTTATGAATAGTAGCTCATATTTAAAACACAAATTAAATTTAAAACATAAATTAAATTTGTGTTTTTAATAAATTAGTCATGTTAAATTATTAGTTATGTTGCCAAATAGTTTCATTGGATTTACTAGGATTTAATATCTTTTTGGCCAAATTATTTTTAGGATTTAACACTCAAGATTTTGTAAATTCAGATCAGATTTACTAAATTCTACTTGTTGCTAAACAGCCCCTTAAAATGTCATTGCGATCCTATGATTATCTTCAGAAGGTTGATTTATTTTTTAGGCTTTCTTGCTATTGGGACGATCAAATTTCTAAAGCTTTTCCTTTAACGTGATTTTAACAAGTGAAATTTTTATCTATGTAACCTGCAGGTTGGCTATAGGCATATAGATTGTGCACGGATTTACGGAAATGAGAAAGAGGTTTTTTTTTTCCCTTAATAATGCGCCTTTCTTTTATGAAACTATGTTTTTTTAATGAATACTTGTGTCATAGATGACTAATTTTAGCCTTCTTGAGTTTTCAAAGTTCTTAAGTGTAATAGTAATATTCTCGTAATTGAAGGCAATTAGTTATTTGTTGAAAGAATAACACATTCATATTCGCAAAGTTCTAGCTCTTAGACTTTTTCTGCATTGGTTACTTCTGATTTATGTACTTTTACAACTCGGTATTGTTTCATGTGTATTAGGAGAAATTATTAGGTTCGGATACTGGACAGAGAGAATCATCAGGATTTTTTTCTGTCTACAGTAAAAGTGCAGTTACTATAGCAGCTGCACTTTGACTGTGCTTTTACTGTAAACAGAGAGAAATCCGGATGATTCTCTCTGTCTAGTGTTTGAACCTAATAATTTGGCGTGTATTAGCGTTTTTTTTTTGTGGGGCGATATTGAGGGCAAAATCCCAACAATTCATTATACTACACAGGATAAATATAAAAGTCTAAGTCAACTTACAACTCAACTCAACAATCCAAAAAGTTACATCCAAAAGAAGATGAGCTGTAAATAAAAAACCAGCATGTAACTGACAAGAACTTCGGATGCACTAGAAGCCATTTACAAAAATATTAGAAATATTGGCATAAGAAGAAATATCAATGAAGTCGGCAAAATTTTTCATGCTAGAGTTGTCATTGAGCTATGGATCCCAAAAGGTAGAAAACTGTTAGATTGGTCCACCCGGTCCACGTGGGACCGGCCCAGCGGAATAGAGGTGGAAGAGGCTGCCTCTTTCTGTACGTGTGATCCGACTGTGATCCTCACAGAGCAGTTCAGGAATGTTTTTGAAGGGAGTTTAGGAAGGAAATTGAATGTAGGGATTGTTTAGAGATTTTCTTTTGAATTGTATGCATTAAATAGTTTGTTTTCCTAGGGTTAGGGCATCTTGAATTTGGCTGAAATTTGAGATCTCATAGCAGCGCCTAGAGATTGGGAGAGCTCGATCCTCCTCTCAAATTGAGGATCACTTGTATCTTGTTTGTTTTTCTTCCATTAGTTAATTTTTGCAATAAAATCTACTGTTTTTCTTGATTTTTATTGGAGTTTGGAAGAGTTTTCTCGCTGTTTTCCGAAGATTGATAGGAAATACTTTAGATCTACAGGTGGATTTCATGGAAAAAAAGGGAAAGCCCTCTGTACATTATAAATTTTTATTACAATACAAGAAAATAGTAAGTTAAAAATGGATGGATTATTTGCTTCTCTTCCCGGCCATTTCTTTTGAAAATGCAAGTATAATGCTTTTTATTCCATATTGTATGAAATTCTGATAAAGTTTACTGTAAATCCAGATTGGTTTGTCTTTGAAGAAGCTGTTTGATGATGGTGTTGTAAATCGTGAAGATTTGTTTATTACATCAAAACTCTGGTTCGTTTCTTTCTTCATTCTTGTTTCAAAAGTAGCTATTTTACATTTGAAATCCATTCTATCTTTTTGGAATATTGTATTTCCAATTTGATTATCCACAATCAGAGCTGCTATTAGTAAGTTCTAAGCCATCATTCTATCTTTCACTTCGTTAGGAAATTAACAATGATTTTGCAGGTGCGATAGCCATGCTCCAGAAGATGTAGCAGAGGAAATAAATTCAACTTTGAAAGATTTACAGCTCGATTATGTGGATCTTTACCTGGTACATCTCATCTTCGAAAGTTGTCAAGCATATGTAGTTTCTAAAGATTATTATTATTTTTTCTTCAACGTATTTATTTTCATTAATCATTTGTTTTCTCATCTATCCTTTCTTCCAATACCCTGAAGATACACTGTCCATTCCGACTGAAGAAGGGGACAAGTTTGAGAGCTGAAAATCTTATCCAACCTGATATACCTAGCACATGGAGTGCAATGGAAAAGCTCTATGATTCTGGAAAGGCTCGTGCTATTGGTGTGAGCAATTTTTCCACCAAGAAGTTGGAGGATTTACTGAGCATTGCACGTATTCCACCTGCTGTAAACCAGGTGGAATGTCATCCTATATGGCAACAGACCAAGCTTCGGTCCTTCTGTCAATCCAAGGGAGTTCACCTCTCAGTAAGTTGGCTGCATTTAACGATATTATATCCTCCTCTTCTCTGATCTAAGCCCTATGACATTTCCTTAAGAGATGAATAACTATCTAATTATTTGTAGGGATATTCTCCGCTAGGTTCTCCGGGGACAAAATGGATAGAAGGGAATGTCCTTGCAAACTCTGTTGTTACCGAGGTTGCGGAGAAATTGGGGAAGACTGCCGCGCAAGTAGCTCTTCGTTGGGGAATCCAATTTGGCAACAGTGTATTGCCAAAGAGCACCAAAGAATCTTGAATACATGAAAACTTTAACGTGTTTGATTGGTCTATACCTGATGATCTGTTTGCAAAGTTCTCCACCATTCAACAGGTAAATTGAGTTGTTGACATTTGACTCCGTTTGATTGTTATTGTTTGGATGCTTATAGTTGTTCTGTATAATCTCAGTTTTTCCAACTGCACTTTGCAAATTTTGAAGCGCAAGGCTCTTACAGCTTCGATATGTAAAAAGACTCGAGGCACTGTTGTTAACGATTTAGAGCATTGATTTCTCTTACATGTACTAACCAAATAAACGACCAGTTTATGGTTTTGAGCAACTAAAATAAGATGCCACAATTAATAAATGAACATGCCTGTGTCAAAACATATTCTTAAATTTGAAAAAAGAAAAAATTAAGTCTTGAAAAAGTAAACTTCATTCAAATTTTTTTGGTAGGACAAATAAGACAAACTCACACACACAACACATACTCAAAAATTGAATCCAAATCCTCTTGGTTAGTAGTTAAAACTTTCAACCAACAGATCTAAGTTGAGTTGCATAACTTTGTTCAGTAAAAACTAAGACTTCATTTGAGACGATTTTCTTATTACTTCTTATAGCAATTTTTTTTTTTGAAAACAGCAAAGAGAGTCTCAATCAAGTCTCAAGTTGGAAAACTATTGATCAGTTTCAGTTATGTAGCGAAGTCAATGATAGTCTAACCCCAATTTGTCAGAGTTTTCTATCCTTATGTATTACAAGACCTTAGCCTGCATCAACATAATTACCAGATCCCTCGACATTTTATAAGATACCCATTTATGCTGCGTTTAATATAAATTCCAAATGTAGCTAACATAATTTGGTCGGCATTTTTCTTTCACTGCAGGCAAGGCTAATGGGAGGAGATTTCATTGTTAATCCTCAAGGCTTATATAAAAGTGTGGAGGAGCTTTGGGACGGGGAAATATGATAATGATTGCAGTTTTCCGGCTATAATTTTGATGTGTTATATATCATTATTCTGAACATTTGGATATGATAATATTGAAATTTCACTAGGTAGATTTGTATGTACAGTAATTTTATTGAATTGTACGACACAGAGAGCATAATGCATAATATCATTGATATAGATACAAAAATGTGATACACATGATATTTGAGATTGGAATAAATTACATGCATAACATGATACGTCCGGCTAGATGCACCGTTTCAAGACAATCCTCATGCCCGAAATTCGAATGCAAGGCTGTCCGATGGACGCACTGGTGGAAACCGGAGGTATAGGCGATGAGATGAGAGCTACCTAGGTTGCGAGAGAGCTTCTGAGGTCAAAGTATTAGAACGAATGAATGTCGAACTGCCCAAAACGTCGAACCATATGCAGGAATAGGTTTTTTTTTTTTTGTAGGGGGCACGTGCTTCTCTAGGACCCTGTCACCCTCCGATGTTGTATATTATTAGTATAATACAACTATTGTATGGCTTAATTAATTTTTTCAGGTCGTTACATTATATTTGCAACTTAAAAAATAAAATTTTAGGTGTAATAATAACATTTGAGTTTCTTATCAATTTTTTAAAATATATTTATAATAATATTAACATTCTTTAGTATTATATATATATATATATATATATATATATATATATAT